TAAACAAACCTGGAAACAAAACCAGACAAAATCGAGGATTCGAACCACCATTACCGACTCCTATCGCACCTAAGGGACGTGACTCTGTGGCGCTTTGGTCAACTGAGCCATCGATGCCCTATAAATAACATCAATGTTTCTATCAATCATGTAAAGAGGATGACAAACAAACCCAGACAGAATCGAAGATTCGAACCACCATTACCGACTCCTATCGCACCTAAGGGACGTGACTCTGTGGCGCTTTGGTCAACTGAGCCATCGATGCCCTATAAATAACATCAATGTTTCTATCAATCATGTAAAGAGGATGACAAACAAAACCAGACAGAATCGAAGATTCGAACCACCATTACCTAATCCTATCGCACCTAAGGGACGTAGCTCTGTGGCGCTTTGGTCAACTGAGCTATCAATGTGTGAACCCATTTCTGGTGTCCCCCGCCGTGATATAGCTGGTATATTACTAAAAGCGGCGTAAAACCAAACTCACTTACTCACTCTCATTTATCTTGATGAAAATAAATCTAACTTTTATTTCCAAATTACAGAAATGTTACGGTGATCTATCCGGACACGATACGAACATATTTTATGTTTACACAAAGGGACAAATTACTCAGGGCGTGATCAAAGCACTCTCCAAGGAACTACTCAACGAAAGGCAGTCATATAAGAAACTGACGTTTGTTCCAAGATTAATACACCGCATACTAATATCTGAACATATTAAAAACTATGTTTGCTTTACTTACAGAATACATATGCCTAGAAAAGCATGTCACATACAAGAAAGAATTCAGATTCCATTGCTGATGTCCTGAACATCGTTAAAGGTGCAGAAGGAGCATGTATCTGGTAAATGAGCTTTGATTACCGTCAAATTGAACTTTTTTTATTTCAGCATAACATGGCAGCCTATCTTATACGAATCCGGGATGATGTTCGTGGCGATGAAATGTTTGCAAATATACACTGCTAAGCAAATCAGAGTATACAGACACTTTTGACGGAAGCTAAAACTGAAACACAACGAAATCATATGGTATTCCATGATGATGCTATATCTGAAACTACGAAATCATATGGTATTCCACGATGATGTGTTTGATACGGGTATCCGAGTGTTTTTTCACCTTAAGCTTGCAGTGCTCGAGCGACTGTTTTTAATAATTATTATTTCAATATTTTAGCAATTTCGATTATCAAATCCCTTACATTTTTCCCGGAGTTAATTCTTATGCCTTCTCCCGGAAAACAAAATGGTCCCTAAAGGTGAACGTTGTCTACTTTTGGTATGTTGAGGTGTAAGACCAATTGGTGTGCGTTTCTTTGTTGTTTAACGCCGCACACAGTAATATTTCAGCTATATGGCGGCGGTTTGTAAATAACCGAGTCTGGACCAGACAATCCTGTGATCAACATCAACAGCATCGCAATTGGGATACGATGACATGTGTCAACCAAGTCATCGAGCCTGACCATCGGATCCCATGAGTCGTCTCTTACGACAAGCATGGGTTGCTGAAGACCAATTCTAACCCAGATCTTCACGGGTCCAAGACCAATTGAAAACATACCGGCTCCTCGTTTACATTTATTAAGACAGCGTTGTGAGGAGGTATGTCATTACTCAAGGAGTAAATTCTGTTTTGGTTAGAGGATAACCATTAATACTGTGTATACACAAGCTTATTAGACATGACGACCAATTCTTCAAGACAGAGGAACATTCACCTTTGCTGTATGTTGTGTCTGCCAGCAACAAAAGGTGGTCGCCGGTTTGATGCTTTGTGAGGTTCCCACTATGACCAGCTACCAGGCTGATTGTCTCGCGTTTTGTTCTCTAAGCATCTTACTAAGATCTTCTATTGGGTGCTAATGGTATCACAAAAGGTGTTTTCCCTTTAAGCTAAATGCCCTCTTAGACAGATTGCGAGCTCCTTTGCCGTCATATAGTGATTGATTGAAGGGTTAGGAGCAGCTATCCAGTGTCTAATGAGCATTGAAGCTGTTTTGATATTCCGCTATCAAAGGGGGCACTTCAAAGTGAGGATTACAGAGTTGTATTTTAAGAATGAAATTTAGAAGACACGAGCTACTTCGAGAGTGTATATTTTCGCTTTGTTGAACAAAAAGTGTATAGGAAGACGCTTGATGTAATACCACGCCCAAGATCACACCACGATCAGAGCGCCTCGAATGTCATAAGTCAGTGTTAAAGTATGGAATGAACCATCGTCTTAGCAGTAGGAGCCTGTTTGGATTGGCACCAACGGCAGTGAAGGTATTGGTACCTTGTCATCACCTCAAAGCCTTTATCTCATTGACGCAAACAGCTGAAGTAGGAAAGCAAAATAGTTGCATCAAATGTCAACATATTCGCTTTTCTATTTTGAGAGTAGAACACGTTGTCGAGGAGATATAATATTCCCAACAGGGAAAAGATGAGACACGTTTATTCAATACATGAGAACAATACGCAGTTGGTGACATTTAACTTGCTTTGATGATTTCAGTTTCTTTAGTCTCACTGAAATTAGTGAACGTTTTTGTTGATAATACGAAGTCAGTGCATCAGGTGAGTAGGTTTTACGCTGCTTTTAGCAATATTCCAGCAATACAGCTGCGGGGGACACAAGACATGGGCTTAAAACATTGTACCCTTGTGGGGAATCGAACCCAGGTCTTCGGCGTGACGAGCGAACGCTTTATCCACTGGGCTATCCCCATCGCCCCCGCAACAAATGTGAGATGTCGAGATGTTTCGCTCTCAAGATCTGTGTACATGGGTGAACGAAACTGATTGACTACCAAAACCATATACTAGGGATGTGGGCTTTGCTGGCAGAATTGTCAGCTTGCAACAGATGTAAACATTTGATCTTAAATTTCCCTTTTTTCTCAATAAAACCACATGACCTCTTTCGCCAATTCTTTATATAGGGTTATGCTGACTGTTGCCGTTCTCGCAAACTTGTTTACAGATCCAGTCTATAATGGATATAATTAAATGTTGGTTGGAGTTAGGACGAAAACATGTTCTGTGAGAAGGAGATTTTTGTTCTAAATCACCCCTTTGTGAGTTATCTTGACCTGTATTTTTTAAGTTCAATAACGAAATTATCACACGAAACATTATTATATCCCTTTAAAATGAAGTAAGTACACAAATATTCAATGCCTGTGATAAAGACGCATCAGAGGGAATTATATATAGAAACCTTCAGTCTTGAAAAAAAATAGTTTATTTCTTCCAGCTTGTAGTTTAAGGAAATGAATCGATAGATCTCGGCAACAGGAGTGCTACACTGAATAATGCAGCCATCTGTTTTTACGTTCCTATCGGAATGTGTCCATATCTTCAAAAATCAGGTCTCTATCATTATTCTATATTGTAGATATTATTCACACGTTTTATACTGACTGAAATGATGGTGCTAATTAATTATCACAAGCCAAAGACGTGTACTGACAACACATATACTACTCAAACACAATTAAGGAACACCCGATTCTACTATTGGAACGATAATGTTTCAATAGTGAACCAGTTATGGGATGAAATGATCGGATGGTCCTTAACATATTTTGAGTAGTAGGAAAGTGTTTATGATTTATTAACTGTGAAAAACAATCTGAAGGTATAACTCTTAGTTTTGAATGACAGGCCATGACAGAATTGGTGAATACGTTAAAGAACTATGCTCTTGATACGTTACAAATGTCAACTAAAATCGACAACATGGTTTCTGTCACTATAGATACACGTAGTTCACATAGAATTTATAGCATGGAAACACAGCAGTGCCATATAAATGTAACACGTGGAACGTCAGCGCCGACGAAATAGAATCCACTTGGAGTATAAGGCAAAACAATTGGAAATGGTATACCTAGATCACTCCAAATCAGTCATGGCAAAATGTAATCATGTCCTGCCATATCGGCACCAAGCGCCACGATTTGGGGAAAGGTGTGTTTGTTGCCTACCACTTTACAGTAGCACCCTCTCAGAAGTCTATGCTGGAAGCACGGTCCTTTCAACGATTCCGATTTTATCACACGTTTGGATTGGATTGGATTATTGGATTGGATTATTCAATGCTTTATTCACTGATACAACTAATCTGGATGTTTAATCTACTTTCAGCGCATGATATACACTTTGATATATAACAGTTTCACTTTATTGACCAACATGCACGTGGACACATTGGTTTACCGTTTTAGAGATATATTGCATGTCAGTTGCATTGGTATAGATTCTATCTATGGAAATATGTGACACTACTTTTGGACATATGATATGCTTAATAACTTGATGTGTCGGATCTACGTGGAAATATATAACACCAGAGACAGACTAGTCTCGATGATCAACAGAGACATTTTCCTCCGGGGGTATTTGGCACCATTGTGTTGAAAAGGATATCAATGGATCTCTGAAATCGGTGATGACACCAGGTGTTCGCGCGAATGGTACGCACGACCTAGCGTAGCGCCAGCAACCGTTACCCACATCTCTCTCTCTCTCTCTCTCTCTCTCTCTCTCTCTCTCTCTCTCTCTCTCTCTCTCTCTCTCTCTCTCTCTCTCTCTCTCTCTCTCTCTCTCTCTCTCTCTCTCTCTCTCTCTCTCTCCTTGTGTATATAAGTTCAAACACTAAGGTAAATACTTCGAGTAATCTTAGATTCGAAACAACCGCAAATTTCGACTCATCGAAGTTCGACACAGCCGTGTCTGACTTTAGACACATATTGTGTAAGTTAATAGAGTCTCGGTTGAAATGTCACCGCATCAAATGTACAAACGAGAGTATTTAATCATCCTGTATAGATACACAAACACAATCAATAATTGCTGATGTACGTACAGCTTAACGTCATCAATTATTCATTCGCAATAATGACAAACCGAGTTTCGTATTATCTATACTTCCACATTTAATGGTTAGTGATATTAACAGCACAATAGCCATGGAATAAACTGGGGAACTTACCAGTATTGCCAGACTGTAATTCCTTCTGCGGCTTTTAGTGCTGCGTTGTCACCTCCATGTCCGTGTATTACACGTGAGTTCTTTGTATTTGAAACTGTGGTATATCTCCCATTAGTTAAGCAAATTGTATCACAGTCAGTGACTCCTGACCTGATGTTAGTGACGATGCTGAACAGTCCTCCTCCTCAACTGAGACAAAAGTTCCAAGTGACAATCCTGCCAGGCTATATATTGCAGCTTGAAAAAAGACCGGTTATTTGAAATATATGGTGGTGGTTTCCTAAAACAAATTGGCTGATTCCTCTCCCGTTGTGTGTGTCAGCGTAAACTTTCTCAGAGTCCCGCCTCAATGTGATAATACCCACTGAAAATCCACCTTCAGATCAGACTCCTCCTGCAAATGTGTCGCTTCAATCCACACGATCCTTAATAGGGTCCTCTTTAAAGCGATTCTGTTCTATGAATAATTCCACTGCTTGTCTTCCTGTCGATGGAGAGACCGGGATCACTTCATTAGGCACGGGCAATGTTGTCATCGGTTTGCACGACGTCGTGTTGCTCAGGTCGGTGGGGCAAGCTGTGGACGTGGACGGTCCACCACAGTCTTCACGCCAAGGAACAGATTGTTTTATTGATAAACCCCTGCCTTACGACAGACATAATTATCCTCTCGCTTTGATAGCGACGAGCTGAGAATCGAATCAAAGCTTTCATTGAGCCTGTGCTTTGATTGATCAGTTGGGCTGACTTGGAGGTGAGAGAAAGCGCGCCAAATCGCACACGTCGAGCAGACGACTTGAAATGCTTTATGTAGAATAATGTCATATTTCATCTGTTGTTGGGGGAGTCAGGCCCATAATTCATAGAAAGCAACGGATCGGAAGCAATTTATCCCTGATGATGAGATTGAAGATTAAATCAGGCAGGTAGAAATGACGATGTTTGTGAGATTAGCAGGCGGAGGCACACTCGCGAGGGCAGAGAGCAGCAGCAAAGAGCGAGGGTGGGTGAGAGGTTCATCTGACTGCCGATAGCCATTGTACCATGCAGAGCGGCAACCTGGTTCAGTGTATGCGCAATCTCGGCGTTGAGAGGGTTGGCAGTTAGTAATGATTGCTAATTACTCATGATATCTCCCCATGAAGAGTCAGTATTACCTATGTTATATAAAGTACACACATAGATTTCCCATGTGTGTGGAATACTGGCTGACTGACTGAGTATGGTTTTACTCCGCTTTTAGCAACATTCCAGCAATATCACGGCGGGCAACACCAGAAAAGGGATTCACACATTGTACCCATGAGGGAAATCGAACCCGGTCTTCGGCGTGACGAGCGAACGCTTTAACCACTAGGCTACCCCACCGCCCCTATGTGTGTGGAATAAAATTATCGGGAAACTCTAGAAAGGTTGATATCTGACGACTGTTCGCTGTGTGAATGATATTTTGTTAGATTCCGTTAATGCAAGACACCAGTCAAAGTTAAAGTAAAAACCATTATCGAACCTCTATCTAACGTCTGTTCCTTGTGTGAATAATATTTTGTTATATTCCCTTAATGCCACACGCTAAACTCTTTGGTATGACGCAACCGGGAATCGAAACACCGACCTTGTGCTCTTCGGGGAGGCGCTTAATCCACTGGGCCACGTAGGGTTCAAACCTGAGTCTTCTTTATGACGATCGCATCTCTATCAGCTTTGCTATTCCACCCCCGCTCGCTTGTTTGGGCCACTTCATATATTTTTCACGTAACGATCTTGAGGTTTTCCACGCAATGAAATCCATAAGGTACATGTGAAATAGTAATGGGGTCGATGAAAGGAAAATCCGTCGATTCAATAAGTGCTTGATAGTGATTTCACTGTCTTAACATTCGTCTAACAGAATAGGAAGCTAATAAAAGAAACATCAGAATATGTCAGGGCAAATACCCCTAGTGCTGATTAACTGCTGAAAACTGTTTCTCCAACACATGGTACCACCAACATTTGAGAGTAATTAATAATCGTATGTTCATGTTCTTGTCCGAATCAACTCTTATGATTTGAAATATAGATTGGGACACAAAAGAACACGCCAATGATCTGTCCGGGTTATCAGAATGAGTACTGTTTTATGCCCTTTTAGCAATATTCTAGCAATATTATGGCAAGGGACACCCGCTATGGACTTCACACATTGCAGCCATGTGGGGAAGTGAACACTTTAACCACTATCTAATCCCGCCGGCCCCTATCCAGCGGAGTGAATCACATCGAATGTCATGTTGTTAAAGGCGGTTTGTTCTTCGCTGTCAGTGATGGCGACCTCCTTCCAGAACAGTACATTGATTCCGCCGTGTAGTAGGTATGACCATCACAATTATTCTCCAGCACATACGAAGGTCTCATTGATCGGGTTTCATTATTATCAACCCTCCTTGTCAATACCCAAGAAGTGCAACCTCATCAAGTCCAATTGACCCAGATTTGTTTTAGTACTATTGGCAACTATTGACTGTGTTCAAAAGTCACAAAGCTGTCAGTGCTTTGTTACATACAGTACTAAGCAAAAATAAACACTCCTTTGTCTCGGTCACGATCGAAGGACCTTTGTTTTGATAATAAGTATACACGCCGTAATTCTTAACATATGATACATGTTTGGCACATTTTAGAGATTTAGATACTCTCTTTTGTGAATTCAGGAGATACGTATTTTCTGTTTTAGATAAGATGGTTTGAAAATTTGATACCTGTAAATCCCATTAAATACCGACTGCACTCATGGGCAATATTCAGGGGGTAATTATAGTTATGTTTTCAATTCAGATGGTCGAAGATAAATTCCTGTCACGACTGGATACATTAATGTGTGACCATTAGGAGATAAACAGATTCAGTTTTCAATTCAGAGGTTCAATGTCAGATTTGATACCTGTTGTTTCATTTGACACCGACTGTGTTGATATGCGATAAGCATATGTTTTTAAGTAGATTTGATACCTCTAAATTCAATTCGACATCGACTGCATCAGGTCGATTATTGTTTACAGTTGGTTGAATACATAACGACCCGTCCGTTATACATGAATATGCTCAAATGTAAAATAAAAAGACTGCATTATGTAAACATCTATTCCCCTAAGAACCAATGAACATTAGCAACATTTAGTTCTAAAGAAATCACGGTTGACACCACCATGTTCTGGCGCGATAGACATGACAGTTCTGACATGTCAGTTGTCATGCTTGCTTCGTATGTATTTTCATCATGCACATGTAGTTATATAGGCCTTTTCTGCTGTCCATTTGATAAACCTATGATGTAAAGTCATTCTGTATAAGCGACAATTGCGTCCTTACGAAGTAGATGCTAATCGTTTCAGAAAATCTAACGATCCTATTATTCATGATAACAGGTAAGTATTTACATTAACAAGTTATTTCAACGAGTATGTATGTAATTTGAAATTTACCACTTCCTCAATAAATTTGAATTATGCATTTGATACCACCTCGAATATCTCATTTATCCGTTCACTCCCGTTTTAATAATAATATCATTCGGGCAGTTTACAGTTACATCAATTACAAAGAGACATGACTCACTATAATGTCTTAACGAAGTCTGAACATGCATCCTTCAAGACCGTTGACCACAGTCCCCCTTTAAGAAACGTCTTCAATAGACTGGTCTGGTGGACAGAAGCTCTTTCCTGAGCGCGGAAGGTCGGCGGGTACTGTGTCTCAGTTGGGGATCCTTATTAAGCTGCGGTAGGAATCGTAGTAGGCTAGCTCTATATAACAGGCATCTGTCCAAACCAGCACAAGCATCCAAACACATGAGCACACACACTATAAAAATGCGATAATCTTGAACACTACGTTAAAACCCATTTCAGCTCATTTCGATCTGAAATAACAGTTTCCAGACAGAAACAATTCTGGTCACTGCAGGCTAGCAATGAGGCCATAAAACCACCGTGCTGCTGAAGTGATGTCACACGCTGCGCGTCAACACTGTTGATGGTGGAATTGTCTCGTCATTTGACGGTTCTAGACAAAACAATTAATGCAAAGATCACATCCATAAACCTGCTGGGTTGTAAAATAGTGTTGTTGGAAAGATATTATGTCTTGCTGGACCTTGTTCGATGGTTTTTGGAGCACACAAACCAAACCCGGTGTTAATTGGGAGTTTATTTTTTCACTTTAAACAACGCTTGTTCTTAAGACTCAGACTCAAGGTCCTGAGTCTTGCCTACCAAGTGTGACCATCATACGAGCCAGAATCCTTCCAGGAATTCAATGGTGCCTGAGTCTCCCGACTGAACCTACCAGCTCAGTATTATTCCACTCTATATACGAGCTCCAAAAATTGAACTCAAAAGATCCCTGAAAACCCATCTTTTCAGAAAATATTACAATCTATAACTTAACTTTCCAAACTATTTTACCCTCGTTCTAGCATAACCTTTGCTTTGTAAATATTTGTAAATATGTAGCGCTTTGCGCATGCTTTATGGTGGAATTCAGCGCATTATAGACACACATATTATTATCATTATTATGTCAGTTTCAGTAACATCATCTTTCAAAAATAAGGTACGCACCTCTCCGGATTTACCCTCTTACCTTCCACACACACACATACACACACACACGCACACGCGCGCGCACACACACACAGACACAACGTGCAAACTATACTTGCACGACAATTTCAATGACATTCTGTAATTATTGAGACAGACTGCTAGATTTACTTATCTTTTATTCTGGTTACGTTTCTGTTAAAGGCACCCCTGATCCAAATCCTGGATCTCAATCCTGTAGATTATGAAATTACGCAGGTCTCAGATAGAAGGAAAAAATAGGAAGGGGAGGGGAGGAAGTGGACTAAAGAAAATCAAGAGTTGAGAGCTGAATGCTCGCAATTTAAAGTCAAAGACACACACTTTTTTGTTGTGACCGTTTTTCACATTCTTTTGGAGTTGAATTAGACGCGGAATTCAGAGTACCCACACTCTTACACGGGAAAAAAATCACGTCAGATAATATATCCTACTACCCCTACTCTTCTTATAAGTTCACCAGAGAGGGCGTGGTTAACGTGGAGGCTCTACGTCACAGCATTTTACTTTTGCACACATTCATTTGTTCGCTGATTCTCTTGCAATTCATGCCGAGGTTCATGACGAAAACAACCCATTCCACATATTTGATACAACAGCCAAGGAAGTTGGATATAATCGCAATGTCAATGTTGATTTTGTTAATGGTTCTGTACTGCTGCATGGTTCCAAAAAGAGTGTCAAAGAAGCCAAGTGCCATTTCAAATCGGCGCAGGTTCAGCTTTCTGGCTCGATCTGCTTTTCACCGTCTTGCAATGCTTGGGGGTTTGAATCAGTCATGATACGACCGAGAATATACAGATGGAGTCCTGGAAAAGTCGGTTAAAAAATTGGAATGAGCCCGTATACAGCCTCAGACGCATCTGGGCATAGAGTCGCCTTGTCGTCTTTTGATATATGTCAAATGAAAACATTTGTATCGTTGTTGAAATGTCTGTCCCCTTAGGCACATATCTGATTGGCGACCTCGCCTTCGAAATG